AACAAACTCCTTAAAAACATCTAACTAATTCTAGTTTTTCGCTAGAGTGTGCTAGCATCAGTTGGCTCTAGGCAGACGCAAACGCAAAAGCTAGTTTTCTCTAAAACTCAGCTCATGCAAGAAGCGGCCCAAACAAAACATCTGTTGTCATATGAAATATATTCTTCATTCTAATAGCATCTTACGGACTCCTCTGGCATAGCTTGCGGACCCCAAGGGTCCGCGAATCACCAGTTGGGAAACATTGGTCTAGAGAGTTCCACACACCAAAAACTCGATTAGATAAAAACGACTGTCTAATGGTAGTTCTAAAGTTTTCACTCTTCAGTTTCAGCGAACGACTTCGTAGAGGACTGTCCTCACTTAAAGTGAAAATATCACTCATATCAATTGAAAAGAGTTCATTCTAGACTCTAAGGGTGATGATAATAACTCCACGCATCAGTTTGTCCATTTCGGTGATAAGGCAAAAAGAGTTGTAAACGCTGCTCGTAATTAGGTCTATTCATCCCATAAGGATCAATAGACCCAACACTTTTTTTGAACACTTTCCATAAAATTTTGGTCACGCAGTAACACTGGGCACCAAATAGAGAAACCAAATTCCAGCAACCAAGAAACGAAGCAGAAAATTCATCGAGAGCTTTCAAAGATCTCCCACTGGAACTTAATGATCAAGTGAGCAATGCCTTAATTCCTCTACCTACATAATAAAATCATAACACAAGTTAGGTGCAATATATGCTAAGGTTCAAGAAAAACAGTGTCGAAATTATTTCTACAATCGATAGCCTAGATTCCGAAAAGATCTCCCAGGACGCCTCAAAGTATACCGTTGCGATACATAAAGAAACTCATGAAAAACTGAGAGCGTTTTTCCCATCCGTATCCATTTCGCAACAGTAGATCGGCCATTCATTACGTCCGGTGGCTCATATCCGACATAATCATTTATTATTTACAAAAAGGCGGAAACTAATCTATGTCCTTCCCATTCGATACCAACTTCGCCGAATGAAAATTGGAAATTACTGCGAGCAGTTCGTAGGTCTACGAGACAATGATCGATAAGGACGATAAGTCGCACGTCAGCAGGAAGGGGGCCGCCAAGAAAGGACCAACGGAAACTGCTTCCTCCGAGTATTATCCAATTCTGAGAGAGGCATTTCGTGTGCTATTATTTTGATGTGTAATAATCAGGCTGTTATTAAACGGGCGACGGTTTTGCTGTCGCCGCCGTGACGAACGATCTTATGTATAACCATCAACGTCCTTTACTGCTCTTAAAAGTTAACATCTGCATTTATATTCAAAAAACCCATCGATTGGTTGCGGCAATGAAAATATTGAAGCAGCTATTTCCACAAATACAATTAAAAGTATGCAATTATCGGCAAGTAAAGGATACACTGTACTGTATTCCATTATTTTTTATTGAATTTCTGTACCTAAACAGATTCAGAATTACTGGAAAATTAGTGAGAAATCATTTCGTTGGTAGAATTTTCGAAAATTTTCCAAATTGAGATATCTGAATGTTACAATTTTCCTGTGAAACCTTCTTTAGTCGCGTTGGATACTTTTGGGTATATAAAAATTTTATGGCGTCGCGTCACCGACATGATACGTCGTGTTTGCGCCACCGACATGCTTATAGCAGCCGGTGACGTGTACTACTCAGTATTATAGGTACTTAGATGAATTTCAATGAAGCATTGTGATTTTGTGCTTCAGTTACCATTAGCCTAATGCATATTTTTTTGGACCCAAAGAAATATGTGATTGAAGTCTGAGTATTGTTGAAATTAATGATGACACTGATGCAAACAATGAAAATAATGTTGAAAATCAAGTACATGTGCATTGAAATTAATGTGAATACTAATACTAAATCTCCATAAATAATATGATTGCATATAAAATTTTATTTCTTGGATTACTCTATAATATAACAATAAGATGAACAATACGTGAAATATTTCAACGTACGAAAAATTTCAATTACAATAGACAATATCGAAGCCAATGAATGCAAAGCTAAGAAACAATAAAATGTTCAGATAATGCTGCACTTTATTTTCGCAGCAACCCTGTATAAATTAATTTATATAAAATCAAGTTGCAGTTTTTTCTACTTTGTCATTCCAAACATTCGTCGATCGGATTGATGGATTGTCATTGTATTCGTGTAAATTATCGATATATTTTCTAATTGATTGATTGGAACGTCGAGCCGATATACCAAAAATATTCGTCGCGAATGCAATAATATCCAGATACCTACTCAAAATTTACAAATTTCAAACTGTAAAAAAGATCTGTAATTACAATAGAAGAATCGAAAAGGAATGATATTTTCGAACTTCGTTATATTTTCGACGATCGCTTCATCATTAATACCGTAAGTTCGCGCCTGTATGTGGACAGTTTTCTTATTGCTTGGATACATGAATAACCTCACATCGATTTCGGTCATTCATTATTTATTTTGTTATTTCCACACAATGTTTTTCATCCGAATAATCATGAATTATATATATTGTTGACATTGAATGAACTTTATGGATTAGCCGATATAAATTGGTGGTATATCAACATACATGCATACGAATATATATATATATATATATATATATATATATATATATATATATATATATATATATATATATAATATTTTTTCCAAATGATACAAACTGCAAATTATCTCTGTCAGGGTTTGTTCTATTTCATGAATCATTGAACTAGGTATTTAATTAACATAAAATATCTAGAAAATTAAAATATATAATATGTATACAAATATAAGTTTATAAGAAAATTTATACTAGAACATTCATTCGAAAATCTCAGATTAATTAAAATAATGTTTAGTAGAGTGTATATGAACGTTTACGATGTGATGCCTTCTTTATCCAAAAGAGAGACAAAATAGTTGAAATCTATGCCACACTTGATGGAAGTGCGAGGCAGATGTTTCTTCTGCAAGGAACTCGCCAGTTGCACCACGTCCATAATAATAATAATAATAAGTTCTCTATTCTCAATAGATATAATACCCAATTACAGAAAATAATAACATGCTGAATACTAACTAAATAATTAAAATGAAAGAGATATAACATAGAGCTCAATCTTATCTAATAAAAAATAAAATAGTAACTAATAACTAAATAATAGCATATAATGAAATAAAACGAAGAACTCAATCTAAGTCAATTCATTTTAGTCAATTTCCTTTGTTCACATAACTCTTAATAATAACTTCTATGGAGTCAAAGTGAATGTCACAATTATTGGCAACTCTATTGAATGTAGACTCCATAAACCAAATGGGGGGATTGTATTAGGAGTTGGTCCTCGGAGTCTCTAGGTGGAATAATTCTATATTACGAGAATTTTGTGCCTAGGAACATGAAATTTTAAAGCGGAAAACAGAGGAGCGCAATCAATACTATTGTGCAGTAATTTGTACAAAAATTTGAGTGATGAAGTTTGTCTCCTGCTCTGCAATGAGATTAAAATAAATCGACTCAATAATTCGTTATGATTCGACTACTTTTTGTGGATAAACTTTATCCTCCCTCCAAACTGAGAATTTCAAGATCTTTCTTCAGAGGTCTTCTCTGAATAGCCTCAAGATGGCGTTGATGGCAAGTGTAAATAAGATGCCAGATCATGCTGCCATACTCAACTTGCTACGGATTAGGTCAATAAAGAGTCCAATGAATCTTGAGGAAATATTAATTGCGTATAACGAATTCATATATTTTCGAGACAGATGAAATAAGTTGGGTGATGTGTGGAACAAAGGAACGTTTCTGATCGAAGACTACACCAAGATCTCTCACCTTTTCAGAACGAGAACGAACCTGACCAACGACGCTTCAATTACACTCTCTTCCTTTTGAAAGAGGAAACAAAGGAAAGTTTCTGATCGAAGACTACACCAAGATCTCTCACCTTATCAGAACGAGAAAGAACCTGACCACCGACGCTATAATCACACTCAATTCGGTCTATCTTCCTTTTGAAAGAGGCAACATTAGTCCATCGAATATTATTGGAGTCATAAGAAGATGCTTGGAATCGTTACCTCACTCCAATGGACGTAGTGAAACTGGGGAGTTTCTTGTAGAACGTAACAGCTGTCTTGCACTCGCATCAGGTGTGACATCAATTTCAATATTTCTCTAACTTTTATCTCTTGGAGGCATCACATTGTACACGTTCACATACCTAGCTCTACTATAACATTCTTTTGTTTATTCGAATTTTTCGAATGAATGTTCTAGTATTCATTTTCTTAAATGAATACAATCATTTTCACATTTCATTAGCTTTTGAGAACCGATTGATTTACGGATGCGGAAAGAAACTAGATAGATCCCTCGAATTAATAAACTCAATCCGAAAACATTATAATTCCCTAATCCTCGCTATCCCGACTAATAAAACTGGATTCAAGATCACGCGACCCAGACCTCCTAATTTATGGGATTCCCATTAGGAATTACGTTCTCAGATTAGAAATGTCGTAAATCTGGCAGCGCGCTGACTTACCGGCCCGCGATCGATGTCATAGCTCGGTTGTAAATCTTACCTGAAACAAAAAAGAAGACAGGATATTACTCACTATTATAGTCTCGGAAAATGCCAACTATTTGGTATATAATAAAACAATAAGTGGAATATGTATAGAGCACGTTACTGGTAACGTATAAACAAAGACAGATATATATAATATATATATATCTATATATATATATATATATATATATATATATATATATATATATATATATATATATATATATATATATATATGTCTTTCACATACAAAATGAGACCTTCTCATCAAAAAATTCATATTACATACTGCATAAGAAATAATCTTGAAGTAAAATAGAATGATTTGAAAATGTTGAATTGATTTCTAATAATAATGAAAGTAAAGATAGATCTGGAGATTATTTCAGTTAGATCTATTTACACAGCCGGTCTCCGTAGCTTAGTCGGTAGAACACCCGACTATGGTGCCACAGGATTAGGGTTCGAGCCCCGCTGAAGGCATGGGTGTTTGTGTTTGTCTATGATTTGAGAAATTTAAATACTGATATGCTGGGTAATGTAGATTGATTATAAACCCATTGGCCGTTCGGAACCGCCGTTAAACTGTAGGTCCAACGAATTGAAAAAAAATAAACAAAATCTATCTATACTGCTACGTTTGCTTCATCTCAAAAAAATATGTCTGTAATATGGGATAATCTTTGTCGGAAATACAGCACAAAATGAAAGAATTTTCCAAGAATTTTAGAAATGCCCCACGATTATAAGTTGATAGTAGCGCCGAGTCACAAAATCAATGTTTGTGAAAATATCCCCCAGTTTTCTGACAACAAATTGGTCTACTTTGATTTATTAGTACCTACAGAAGTACCAAAACACATCACGTTCTACAATTTCAGAAATCTTCCGTTGAACAAAATGAAACCACCATAAATTATCATTTGAATTCATGAAGAAATTTTGAAACAATTCAACAAAATCCAACAGAACACCAATTCAATTCAGATATTAAATTATCATTTGACGATTCATGCAAATTTAAGATAATAAATCATGAATATTACAGAATAGAATAATATTCTTGGATCAAGGACAATATCCTTATCACCAGTTTCAACGGAGAAGAAAACCAATCCAACAGACCCTACACCTGACAGAGATACATTGGACAATTGGTTCTTTACAACCTAATTCAATTCCAAGAAACTTGAAGTATTTCTGAAAAAATTTTTATCTGCATTGACAGTCTTGGATGAAATTTGAGACGGAGTATAATGATCTGTGAAACTCATAGACGAACAAAATTCATTCCATCTAATGTTTCTTTATTAATTTCTTTCGAAAGCATCATTAATTTTCTCAACTTTTCAATGGAAACTATTATTATTATCATTGTTCCAAGAGCGGAGGTCAGAGACTTTTTTAGCTCCGTTGGACTCACAGTTTAACGATGATTCCGAACGGTACAAGATCATGGCGTGGATCGAACCCACCAGCACCAGTAAATAGAAAGCGTTAAAGAGTCACTGTATACCGCTTGGTTACTAAGCATCTAAAATTATTAGAAATTACAACAACAATATAATAAACAAATTTGCAAAATTGTATGAAAGATCTGTATCAATATCAAAGATCTCACGTTTTTGAAATATATGAATAAATTATCAAAAATGCAATTAATGTACCTTCAACTTCATAACTGGCACTTTACGTAAATATATAGTCTGAAAAACAGTGAATATTTGCACACTACCAACACATAATAAAAATTTTGATTTTTGTATTTGGCAAATTACAGTGAAATTGGAGCTACCCGAAGTGTAATCACAAAATCACGTGCACAAGATCGAAACAACTTTAGCCAACGGGACGCTATCAGGTTTACATCCTACTCATAACAATAACAGCTTTAGAAAACGGACTGGAACTTCCAGCAGCAAGCACTATTATGCACTTTACTGCCCCAAAGTCTCATGCGTCTGGATATAATTTCCACAAAGTGCAATATTAACGGGCACACTAACGTCTTCCTACGTCCATAACGCGGTTATAACTCATCAAGATCTGTTCGACTAATCTAATACCCGCTCAATCTTATTAGATAGATCCGATGAATAGGGTTTATGGAAAACATTAACCTTGGTTACAGCTTCTCCTGAACTGATATCCACTTTGACACTGATATTTTGATGGGAAGCGGGATCTTATAACTGAATTAATTACATTATTCGATGTCTTGAATTAATTAGTTTCCCGTAAATAGAGAAAACATCTCGAAGTTCGAGAAGACGGACGTCTCGTTAACTGAGTTGATCATACTCGAAGACAATTAATTGAAGTAATACATTTAGAGGAATTCAGGAGGATAGAAAATTGACTTCAATATTTGCTGCATCTAACTACAAAATAGGGAGCCAGTTTGATACCCTTCTCAAAGGCACATCAAAAATATAAAATGATTACTATTCACTATGGCCGCAGTTATCAAACCGAAACTGAGTCGTTAACATCAGAATTTAAAAAGTAGGGATTATATAATCGGACTCAAGTCTCACTCAAAAATTGAGCTATCTATAAAAGAGGAGCACGCTACAAATGTCAAACATAAAGTAAAATGACTAATATGTAAATTCATTATACATTGTATAAAAATATCATATGACATCATTAATTAATTAATTAGTGAAATTAATTAAACTGTATCAAAAAGAGTTTTTATCTGATAGAAATTTAACGATGGCTTTCAAAACCCAGAATACCGTGGGTTCAGAAATTATGTTTCGGGTATCAAGTTGCGGTGCTTGTCCTGATGTTGGCCAAACTGGCGGGATATTCGACTTAGAATTCAATCTCAGATTCTCATTACTTTTTTCAAATATACTCTTGGAAGTATCATTATATTTATTTTAAAGTGAAAAAAGAATTCGGAATCTTTCCAGAACAGTCATCCCCAACAGGATATACAAAAAAGTTTTTCAACAATGACAAACATGTTGTCATTTTTGAATGAATTATAGAATACCTGAAACTTCTATTGAGAACTTGAAGCTACTGAATAAAATCAGAAATCATTCTGAGATATCATTGAAATGCTTTTTAAAGTGAATGATGAATCTTTAATCCAAAAAAAAAGTGTTAAACTTCTTTGAACGTCAGAAATTTTAAATCATTCAATAATAAGAGTCTTAAACACACTCAGAAGATTTGCATTCACTATAATTTATATATTCTAAAATTTTTTCTTTTATAGAATGATATCACATAACATTTTTCGAAGTTTCACATATTGTATAGTTGAATTCAACGAGTTAACAACTCACGAAAACAATTTTTAAATTTTATTAATTCATTAATTGACGACGAAATAGAATAAAGAATACACAACTCGAAAATTAAACTGATGAAAATACATTTTTAAGTTTAAATTTCATTTTATTTTTCAGAAAACCAATGAACTTTATGCGGATAATATTTCGAACGAAGTAGAAAAATGAAAACCAGTTTTATATCATAAGTTAACTTGGTTTAGGTATTCATAGCAGCTCCTTTATCTCTCTGTTCATCTCAAATACATCTTTGAAATTCCGTTAAAATACAACAGATTTTACCATATTAATAGTTAAATTTAAAGATGAGGCAGGTTTTTCTATGCTTTGAATATCTGATGTATCATTTGATTAAAAATTCCTTGTCTCAAGGATATCCACATGTTAAGTCATTTCCCCTAAGGCAATCGAGAGTTTCTTCAAGTAACAAAAACACCATTCCCGATTTTATAATGATATTATCGCTATCACGTATGGACGATGTTACCTGCAAGGACGAAAGAATACAGAATATCATTCAAATTAAGTCATCAATTAGGAAGTGTATTCACTCAAATCAGATTTAATATTCGAAACAAAAACACGTCAAGCTTCGTGAAGTCGGAATTTTATATTAACCGAGTTGGAAAGAATGAAACGACGAATTTAGATTTCGAGAAAAGTTTCTACTTTAGTACGAGTATTCGAAACTATAATTGTTAAACACTTTGGAATGAAAAAAATTCAAATATTGCTCCATAACCGAAATTTCAATAGCAGATATATTTTATAATTATGTGATAGTACATAGTGAAAATTCGAAAAACAAATTCTTATATGCAAATAATGAATAATAATAATAATAAATAAAATTTATTGAGAAACTTTCTTGACATTGAAAAATTACATTCATTCAATTGATACAATAATTACAACTGAGAAGAGTGTCCACACAAAAGGACTGAATTAGTTTTATGAGAAATGCTATTCTTTTCGGGGAAAGAAATGTTATCAATAAACCATTAGTTTCAAGAGAAAAAATCATTCTTCTGCCATTGTATATAAAATTAGAGCAATTCGTTTTCAGTTCAATGTTATCAGTTTATTTCACAGAAATTTTCTGATTTAGGTACTGAAAACTGAAAACAGGTATTCATAATTTAAGTTTATGTATTGTATGTATTCGAAAAATGTCATTAGTCTGCACGTAGCATTTGAAAAAGGTGAATCTCATCGAAACGTACGTCATGCAGTATTCTTTTTAATATATGTGTAAATCAGTTTAACAATTGTTTTATTATGTTTATCGATTTACATCAAGTATCGGTCTCATCAATTATTAATTTGAAAACAGGTATCTTTGACGGACCTCAAATACGTCAATTAATGAAAAACACCACAATTTTGAGAATTCAATGAATGATTTGGAAAGACTTGCGTGGAAATCATTTGTAGCAGATGTACAAAATTTTCTTGAAAATAATAAGACTGACAACTAAATACAATTGGTAGAGGAAATTCTAGTTCGTTTCAAAGATTTAAGCTGTAATATGAGTATAAAATTACACTATCTCAATAGTCATATAGATAAATTCCAACACATTTTACGAGATTTAAGCCAAGAGCAAGGAGAACGTTTCCACAAAGATATAAAGACGATGGAGAATAGATACTAAGGAAGGTGGAACACTCGTATGATGGCCGAGCATTGCTGGGGAATCATGCGAGATTGTCCATGTCAGTTTCACTCAATAAATCACTCAAAAATCAATTTCTTGAAATTTAATGCCAATAAAATGAATTTTTTTGTGAAAAGTGTATTTTTCTTCATCTCGGAAACTAAAGCTGATAGAAACAAACCGGTAATATTTTTGATATCGCCATATAGGACATACTCAAAATCAGGTCTAAAATTCCCGGCACAAAAATCGTTGTAGGCCTGTGATCAGACTGCATTGTGACAAGCTAGTTCTGTTCCTCAATTGAGTTGTATTAGAGGAAGACAGAAAGAGAAGAATTTATGGAATTTTAATAGATTTAGAAAATTAGGTTTTTCATTGAATGACTACTTGACAAACTTCGTTTTAACGAAGCATTATAAACAGTTTTCGTTACCCCTGCACGGTTCACGTACCTATTGTTGCATTTTCCTTCAACTTCAAAAGTGTAAGTACGTGAGACAATCCGATTCCGTTT